GGACCCTGGGGGGCTCCAGCCTGTTGAGAAGGCTGCCCATAAGCTCTCTCCAATGCCTATTGGCCTTGGGAGCCTCAGGCCAAACCCAAATGTCTGCTTGCCTCCTCTCTCATTCCTTCCACTCCCACTCAAGTTTTCCTCAGGATGAATCAGGATGGGGCCACGGAGAAACCGCTAGGGATAGGCTTGGCCATGATCGCTTGGAGATGCCTGTATGCGCCGTGGGGTCAATCCTGTATGTGAAAACGAGTCACGTGTGTAAAAATGACTGCTTTGGGGAAACCCAGGACCCAGGACGACAAGCAAGCTCAATCTTGCAGGTATCTTCCCTCACCTGGGAGTAAAGCTGCCCGGAGACCTATTGTGAGGAAATGTGGAATTGTTCAAGGGTGCCCTGATGGATGGGACAGTGTGACCTGCGTGTGGCTGCAGGGCAAGGCTTCAGGCATGCCTCAGAAGGACGTCTGGCAATCTGCGTTGGCAAGGTCACAGCCTGGCAAGCACTATGGTGCTCTGCACCGTGGGGCTGCCAAAGAGGCAGAACCAACTCACCAGCAGCCAGTTCCACAGAGCTACCGAGTACTGACTGATGCAAGGGAAGCCAGGGTGCTGTTGATGGCGAGGACTAATGTACATCCAGCAGCATGCATGGAAGGTCTCCCTGTTAATTCTTCTTTTGAGCTTGGATCAGATAAGGGCCGCATAGTTACCCATGAGGTGCGACTGCAGTTTTTGTACCACCCGCAAGCCCAGGCCCTCAAAATCCTTCTAAAAGGATGGACACAAAAGCCGTGTCCCTGGGTGAAGGGAGACACCCGTCAGTGGAAGACATGAAAAAATAATAACAATTTATAAATGATCAAGGGTTCATGAGGGAGGATTAAAAATGAGGCACTGATACCAAGGGCTCAAGTAGAAAGAACATGTCTTGAAAATGATGATGGCAACAAATGTACAAATGTGCTTGACACAATAGATGGATGGATTGTGATAAGAGCTGTATGAGGCCCCAATAAAATTATTTAAACCCCCCCACCAACAAAACCTGTACCCATGAAACAAGGAGACACCCAAGAAGCCAATCTGGCCCACAGTGAAAGCTTTCAAGATGTGAAAGAGGGTGGGTCAGGGTGGTGAGGGTGAGGGTGGGCATCCTGGAATGTTGTCTTGTGGCCTGAGGTTGATGCTCAGTTCCAATCCCACACACCAGTCACTGAAGAGAAGTTTCTGGGAGAACCAACAGGCTGAATTGATGGAAAATGAGGAGCCGATCCAGTTACCACCAGGCCTTCTGAGCGCTTTGGTGCCTCATCTAGGACATGCTGAGAGGAACTCTTTAAATCATCTTCAAGGCCCCCCTCTTGGTTCCTGGTCATTAAGGATGGCCAATGGCTGTTGCTGTCAGGTGCCATGAAGGTGGTTCTGACTCATTGGGATCCTATGAACAAAAGACAGAAACATTTCCTGGTCCCGCACAATCCTTACCATCGTTCTTATGCTTGAGCCTATTGTGGCAGCCATCTCATTGAAAGCCTTCCTTTATTTGCTTGCCCTCTACTTTACCAAGCATGATGTCCTTTTCCAGGGACTGGTCTCTTTTGACAGCATGTCCAAAGGACGTGAGAAGAAGTCTTGCCATCTTTGCTTCTAAGGAGCATTCTGGCTGTACTTCTGAGACAGGTTTGTTTGTTGTCTTGGCAGTCCCTGGTTCTTTCAATGCCAGCACCATAATTCAAAGGCATCGATGCAAGGCTGAAGAACAGTCTCCTGTATTTGATGTCCAACTTTCACGTGCATATAAGCCATTGATAGTACCATGGAATGAAGCAGGTGTACCTTAGTCCTCACAGTAAACTCCTTGTTTTCAACACTTTACAGAGGTCTTGGGCAGCAGTTTACCCAGTGCAATTAGTCATTTGATTCTCTTGACTTCTGTTTCCACGAGCATCGATTGTGGATCCAAGCAAGAAAAAAATCTTTGACAACTTCAATTTCTTCTCCATTTCTCGTAATGTTACCTATTGTCCAGTTGTGAGGATTTTGTTCCTTTTTAAATTGAATGGTAAGCCACACTGAAGGCTGCGATCCTTAACCTTCATCAGCAAGTGCTTCAAGTCCTTCACTTTCAGCGAGCAAGGTTGTGTCATCTGAATATTGCAGGTTGTTAATAAGCCTTCCTCTACTCCTGATACCACCTTCTTCTTCATAGGTATAGTCCGGCTTCTCTGATGAATTGCTCAGCCTGAAGACTAGTGTACTACACACTCTAAAGATCAGATTAGACATCAACACATATTTATTGAGATCTTCTCTGGGACATATGCTGAATCTCTGTGACTTGGCATTTATTAGAGGGCACCTACCTGAGGCCCAGCACACAACAGAAGGAAAAACCGCCCAGTCCTACACCAGCCCCACAATCATAGTTATGCTTAAACTCCCCGTTGAAGCCCTGAGTCAATTCATCTCCTTGACTATCTCCCTCTTTTTCTCAGAGCCTCTACCCACCATGATGTCCTTTTCTGGGGCCTGGTCTTTCCTGAGAACATGCCCTAAATCTTGCCATCTTTTTTTCCTAATGAGCATTCTGACAGTACTCTCTCTAGGACAGATTTGTTTGTGTTTCTGGCAGTCCATGGTACTTTAATGTTCTTTGCCAACACCATAATTCGAACACAGCAAATCTTCTAAGGTCTTATTCCTTGTCCAGCTTTCATATGCACATGACATGACTGAAAATACCACGGCTTAGGTCAGATGACCTAACACTTTCCAGAGGTACAATGCTGCAAAGTTGCCCAACATTATATGTAATTTCGTTTCTTGATCGTTTGTTGTATGAGCATTGACTGTGCATCCAAGTAACATGAAATCCATGACAACATCAATCTTCTTCCACTTATGATGATGTTGTCTATTGGTCCAATCATGAGGGTTCTGGTTTTCTTAGCATGGAGTTGAAATCCCTACTGAAGGCTTCAGTCTTTGATTGGCATTGGCTCCTGTGATAGTGTATCCTCCAGTCCTGATGGCAAGTTCTTCTTCATTTAGGGTAACTAGTTGGCTTACTTACATATAGACTGAATAAATAGGGTGAAAGGCTACAACACTGATGCACCCCTTTTCTGAATTTAATCCACACACTGTTACCTTATTCTGTTTTTCTTGGCCCACGTACATGTTCCACACGAGCACAATGACATCCTCTGGAATTCTTATTCTTTTCAATGCTACCCATAGTTTGTTATGAGCCGCACTGTTGAAAATGCTTTTGCAGTTCAATAACATATAAGCAAACACATTCTAGTATTTTCTGCTTTCAACCAAGATGCATCTGATGTCGGCAATAATATCCTCATACCAATCCTCCTCTGAATCTAGCTTGAATGCCACCATTGTTGAATTATTGTCATTAAAATGTTCCTTGTATGTGATATTCATGATATAATTTGATGATTTCCACACCCTGTCTCTTTCTTTGGACTGTGCATAAATAGGAACGTCTTCCAGTTGGCTGGCCAGATGGTTGTCTCCAAATTTCTCAGCATAGATGAGTGAGCGCTTCTAGGACTTCCTTAGCTTGTTGAACTCTTTCAATTGGTATTCCGTCAATTCCTGGAGGCTTGTATAAAAAACAGCTTTACTGACATATAATTCATGTAGCAATGGTTTAGAATATATTAAAAAGCGTTGTTCAATCATTACCACAATCAAGTTTAGAACATTTTCTTCATTCTTGTACCATTATTAGCTCCCCATTACCCTCCATCCTGCCCTGCTACAACCCTGAGGAACTATTAATCTAGTAATATCTCTATAGATTTGCCTATTCTGAATTTCACACCAAGAAAGTCATACCAAAAAACCTCAACCCCAACAACAACAACAACAGACACAGGAAAACCTCAATCCAAGTGAAAGTAGAAAAATATAAGTTGAAAGTCGGTCAACAAGGAAAACAAATAATAATATGTTAAATTTTAACCTATAGCTGCAGTAATGCACTTTCCAATGCACTCTATCTGAGGGCATGTGTGAGTCTCGGTTGACTAGAGAAACAAATTCATAGACACTCATGTGTGTAAGAAAGAGCTTTATAAACAAGAGCAATTGAATATTGAGAAAACATCCCAGCCCAGTCCAGATCAAGTTCATAAGTCTGATATTAACCCATATGTTCAGTACCAATCTATAACATCCTCTTCAGACTCACAAAACACATGCAATGATGCCGAATGCAGGAAGATCACAGGCCAGTGGGTGGGAAGTCTTGTGGATTCAGTGGTGGTGTATAAGTATCTTAGCACTGGCATGAGGCTCCACGTGGCTCCTCCAGCTCCAGGGGCTCTAGTGTAGCTCCACGTGTCTTGTAAGCAGGAAAGACGAAGTACAGAGTCTCTCTGTTTCTGGCCTCCAGTGAACTATTTAGCTCTGTGGCACCTCCAGGTGAGGTCATCAAGCTGTGACCTGATTAACAGGCTAGACTCCACCCCTTCACAAGTTGACACCAGATTATGTAACTACCACAGGGCAAGACTATTCACAGGTCTATGGTCTGAGGGAATTCATGGAGGTTTCATCTGTGTGGGAACTCTACAAATGAATATTATTTTGGGCTTTCACAGACTGGGTGCTCAGAATTGAAGCTGTAATACAATTCCTTCCTCTGATCTTGGATTTTATTATTCACAATCTTTGGATCACATGGGCTGGTGAGCTCCTTTCATATGGCCTTAGTTGACATTTCATTCAGATGACTGCTTGTTTTAAGACAACTGTTTAAAGCCCCAGACACTATTCCTTCTGGTAGCTGGGTACCATCTGATTTCTTCACCATACTTTAGCACTCATATGTTCAGTGGCTCACATGTTGCTGTGATACTGGAAGCTATACATACCATTGTTTTTTCAGATACCAGCAGAGTTACCCAAGGTGAACAGATTTCAGCAGAGCTTCCAGAACAAGGACAGACTTCATGTGGTCAAGAGTTGAGCAGGACCACATCGTAAGAATTGATCGTTCTTAGATTAGGGTTTACAATTAAGTGTAAGCTCAAAAATCATTCGTCTATCCCAAGTTTATATATATCCCTATGAAGCCTTGTCTTTTGCTAATGCCTTCAGTGCAGCTTAGCCTTCTTCCTTCAGTACCATCTTGATCACGTGTTTACCCCTTGAAATGCTTGGATGTCGACTAGTTCTCTTTGGCACAGTGATTGTGTATTCCTTCCATCTTCCTTTGATGCTTGATGCGTCTTTCAGTACTTTGCCCATGAAATTCTTCAATATTTCAACTTGAGGGTTGACTTTGTTTTCTTCAGTTCTTTCGGCATAAGATAAACTGAGCACGTTCTCCCTGTTTGCTTTTTCTAACTCTAGGTCTTTGAACATTTCCTTATAATACTCTCTTTTTCAGCTGCCCTTTGAAGTTTTCTGTTAAGCTATTTTATGTCATCATTTCTTCCATTTGTTCAAGCTATTCTATGATCAAGAGCAAGTTTCAGAGTCTCTGCATTAGTCTTTTCTTTCTGTGCTGTCTTTTAAATGCCCTTTTGCTTTTCTTTCTTGTATGATGTTCTTGATGTCATCCTAAAGGTCATCAGGTCCTCATTAGTGTTTAATGTGTCAAATCTGTTCTTGAGATGTTCTCTAAATCCAGGTGAGATATACTCAAGGCTGTATTTTGGCTCTTGTAGATTTCTTCTAATTTTTTTCAGCTTCAACCTAACTTACACAAGAGCAATTGATGGTCTGTTACCTAGTCAGCCCCTGGCCTTGTTTTGATGAATGATATTGAGCTTTTCCATCATCTGTTCACACATATGAAGTCTATTTGATTCCTATGCATTCCATCTGGGGAAGTTCACATATATAATAGCCATTTATGTTTTTGAAAAAGAGCTATTTGCAGTGAAGAAGTGTTGGTCTTGTAAGATTCAATCATGTAATTTCCATTTTTGCTTCTGATTACCAAGGCCCCATTTTCAACTATGGTTTCTTCCTCTTTATATCTAACTTCTGTATTCTAAGCACCAATAATTATCATTGCATCTTGATTGCATGTGGATCAACTTCAGATGGAAAAAAATTGGTAGAATTCTTCAATTTCTTCATCACTGGATTCAGTGATTGCTGTGTATATTTGAGTAATAGTTGAATGAACTATTAACAGTTCATCACACTATAATGGCTTGCATGTTGCTGTGAATCTGGAAGTCATGCCATTGGTATTTCAAATACCAGCAGAGTTACCCTAGGTGAACAGTTTTCAGTGGAGCTTCTAGGCTAAGAACAGACTGTAATGACAGATGGGCTGTCCACTGCTGCGGGATTAGCCACAGAAAATCATATGACCAGGGTTGACAAGCTCCACCTTAATGGAAAAGGTCTCTTAATAAAGTGCCCAAATGCCTGGCCAGAAATTAGATTTGATGAGGTGTTGAAGTAGCCGTACCTTTTACATGTCAACTGAGGATAGAGTCGGAGATGGCATGCCACCACACAGGCCATGTTCTCATGACCAGCTATGTGCTTGCATGCCTTTCCTAAATGTAAGGCATGCATACAGGGTGAGGCTCTCATGAGGGACCTGTACAGCTATGAGTAACCACTGCCTGTTCTGTTGCACACTTTCCGAGGCCCGTCCCAAGACTATGTCTCTGTAGAAAGTAGCCTGAGCAGAACACATTCTTCCGGATGAATCCTATCTGAGACAAGCCTAGCTCCCTCCCCTTCTTGGGCTGCCCAGTCTCTCAGTATCTGCATGGTTTGCTCTGCTGTGAGCGCTAACACTGGGCATCCAGGCAACTCAGTCAGCCCACTTCTTCCCCTGATCTCTGTTCCTGAAAGACCTGCTCCAGACAGCCATTCCAACCCATTCACAGGATCAGACAAATCTAGCTCAGGTTCTCTACTGTCTGCTTCTTCCCTGGCTCTCAGTTGGTAAGTTACTCGACCTTGCCTGACCCTGGCCTCTGTGTATGTTCTGGGTCTTGGATGCTCACAGGCAGCCGTCTCAGATCATCCTAGAGCCTCCAGGACTCTGGCTTCCTCCCCTTGCCATCGCTGACTGGCTTGATGGGGTGCAAGGCAGACACTGTGATGACCACCGGGTAGGGATGGAGTGTGGAGAGAGGCCAAAGCGCCTGAAGGAGGGGTGCTCCTGCTTGTTGAGGGACAGGCAGCCTAATGAGGTGACCAGGAGTGAAAATAGGGTGGACACAATCATAGTTCAGAGACAGTCTTGTCTGCTTACAGCATGGGTGACAAGCCTTAAAAATAATTTAGTTTATTTTAAATACATTAATCAAGTTGTCTGGGAAATTTGGTTTTTCAACTTGAAGTTCTTTCAGAAAGCTGCTTTGTGTGACATTAGGTATTAAGTGATTGATGAATGTCCACTTAACACAAATCAGAGCCTACAGCTTTCGCACGAATAAAGTGCTAAATTTAAAGTGAGAACTCCCTCTCAGGATGCTCACTGTAAAATTACAATTCTAGAGCTTCCTGGGGCTACTTGACCAGGTGGCTATTCCTTTTCTCCGGGAACTTCCTGCCGGAGAGGCAGAGAGCTATCAACACTGGGGACCTGCCCTGGCTTGGATCACACATTGCTAACTAGTCTTGTCGGCTGACCTGCTTGCTTCCAAGGACTAATGAGTAGGCTACTCTCGCTTCCTCTGCAATCAGCCGGGACACCCTGCCTCCCACCCAGACTCAGACTCCTTATTCCCAGCAGGCTGGGGCTGTGCGGTGGGCGTATTGTGGGTAGTGTAGACTGTGGGCGTGGCATAGCCAGGCGTGGGCGGGGCTTCTACCCAGCGGGGGGCTTCTAGCTCCTGTTGGTGGGGCTCAATGGAACCCTTGCAGTGGCTGTGCTTAGCTCGCTGCAGCGAAGCTCTTCCTGTGAGGTGCCCATGCCCTGCATCCCACAGGGTCCCAGATCCACACGTTCAGGCGGGCACGCCCCTCCTTTCCACCGCATCCTGGTGGGGCCCCAGCCTGGCCTCTCTTACTCACTGGCGAGGATGACCATGTCCATGCCCCAGAAGATGCTCATGATCCAGCCCACCATCACGATGGCCGTCAGGATCTGGATGAGGGCCGCCGCGATGTTCAGCCAGAAGACGCAGCACACGTGCCTGTCTGGGAGGTCAGTGCGGGCACCGCACAGCACAGTGAAGGCCGAGACGAAGGTTCCTGTGAGAAGCAGAGGGGAGATAGAGTGGCCAGTGGGCTCATGGTTGGCATGGGGTCCAGCTGCCCAACAGGCCTGAGATTGGCCTAAAGCAGGTAGTCTGTGGCACCCATGGTCTTGGGTCCAGGCCCAATTCTGCTCTGGTCAGACTGAATGTCCATTCTGACATCTGGTAACCCTATGTGTGTCCAAGTGGAACTGTGATGCTTAGGGGGTTCCACAAAGGTGGGTTGCTGGGTCTTTCTTCTGACACACTTCTGCTAGTAGCGAAGTGTTGACCATGCATATTGCTCAGGGGCTCCTTGCCATTCCAGTGTGGCCAGTATACCACCCTGGGAGATGGAGGACACTGTGCTGCCAGGGGTCCAGGTGGGTCCTGGACCTCTGGGAAACAGCCATCACCGCACAAATCATTTAGTCCCCTGTGAGGATGACAGACCACAGGAGGGATGGGAGAGACTGGAATCTTCCTTCCAGTCTAGGCTATTGCATCCTTGCATGGAAAATAAGGAAAGACACTGAACAGCTTGTACTGGAAAGATGTTGCACGGGACACTAAACTGCTATATCAACCTCGCTGAAAACACAAGAAAACAGTACTGGAAAAAAGGAAAAGAATAAGGAAAGAGATGTTATCCTTAATGATTTCCAAAATGTCCTGAACATCTCTGTGCCCTTCTCCTCGTGCTTGTGCCCTGGGCAGGGTCCTTCCTGGCAGACCTTGGAGCAGATGATGCCCAGATCTCTGAACTGTACTGGTCGGGCCTAGTGGGATCTGGCCGAGATCTTATTGTCAATACCTCTTTGGAGCTGTGACTACCTCAGTCTTCCTGCCTAGGAAATGGGAAGAGGGACCTAGGTTCCTTTGTATTGTCATCAGGCGAAGCCATAGGAAATTAATATTTTTATAGGTCAAGAACGTCTGAATAGCAGTGATTTCATGTGGTTCAACATCCTATGTGTGTGAACATTTGGAGCAAAAGTTAATTCTGTCCCTCGACTCAGAGATCCTTAGAGTTAGAAGTTCATGTATTCCACCAACTGTCAAAAGACAAAACCACATTGGAATGATCTCAGACTGATTGGAGACCAGTGAGTCTTTTCAAGTATCTTTGTGGTCTGCTTGTCATAAAGGGGGGCTGACTGAGAGAACTCAAGGCTTTGCAGCTATAAAAGGCTATGAAAATGAAGGGCACTGGCAAACTTTATCTGTTGGGAAGAGAGGGCAGGCCGCAGTGTTATTCAAAAGGGAAGATAGCTTCAGTACGCGAGTGGTTTGGGCCATTCCTCTCTCTCTTACCATGGCCGGCCAAAGGAACAAACAGGCCTGTCGTAGGAAAAGGACAGCCAGAATGCTCCTTTGAGGCCAGGATGGGGAGACTAGGTCTCACCTACGTGGACATGTCAGGAGAGACCAGTCCTCAAGAAGGACATATGCAGAGACAGTGACAAATAGGAAAGTCCGGGACTCGATGGATTGACACGGTAGCTATAACAATAGGCTCAGACATAAGAACAGTATTCAGGATGGTGCAGGACGGGATGGTGTCTCTTTCTATTGTGCATAAGACCACTGTGAGTTGAAACCAACTTGATAGCACCTAACAACATTACATAATATAAAACATTGTTTACACATACTTAGGAGTTAATTGTCAAAATGATTCTAGCATATTTTTATAGGAAGAGGTGTTAATAATTTCAAATCAATCCTACCTTAATAGGATTATTTAATAATAATGAGTTCTACCCAACCATAAGAGTCCCTCGTGGTGCAAACAGTTAAACACTTGAGAGCCAGCTAAATGGTTGGCCATTCAAACTCACCCAGAGGGCTGTCAATGGAAAGGCCTCCCCATCGAGTTCCACAAGATCATGGGCTTGAAAAGCCTGAAGATTACTTCTACTCTGCACTGATGGGGTCACCCGAAGTTGTAATCAACTGATGGCAACAACAAAAACTCAACCACAACCTGTTAGTTTTCATTTATTTGAATCACATGCCCCCAGTCTTAGGCATAACAGGCCCAAACAATGATGGGGCATTGGCTCAGGTCACCCTGAGGGACAAAACCAAATTAAACACGTTGCTGCCGCTCTGACTTATTGTCCCTGGGTGGTGCACACAATGTGTCCTTGGCTCCTCATTTCAAAGTTGGTGGTTGGAACTACAGTGCGGAAGAAAGGTCTGGTGATCCGCTCCTGTAGAAATGACAGCCAAGAAACCCCCATGGAGCCGTTCTGCTATCTAACACGAGGGGCTGTCAGGAGTCTGGGAGGGATGGTGTTGTTCTGATCAGTTCTAGTAAGTCATCTCTGACGCATAACAACTTTAGATATAAGAGAAGGAAATGTCCTGCCTCAAACTTGAAATTGTTATTAAAGTTTAACCCACTGTCGTAGTCATTGTGTCAATCTGTCTTATTAGGAAGTTTCCTCTTTTTAACCGACCCTCAAACTTCACCAAGCATGATGTCTTTCTCCAGTAATCCCTCCCTCCTGATGACATGTCCAAAATAGGTCAAAGTCTTGACTATCATTGCTTCTAAGAGCATTCTGGCGGTACTTCCCTAAGACGGATCTGTTTGTTCTTCTAGCCGTCCACGAGATGGTCTACATTCTGTGTAGACCATCACAATTTGAATGTAACAAGCTTTCTTCAGTTTTCTTTTTCATCGTCTAGCTTTCTCGGGTATATGAAGTAATTGAAAATATCATTACATATTGGTTATCAAAGTGACATCTTTGTTTTTTTTAACAACTTAAAGAGCTCGCTTACAGATGGTTTCACAGTACAATGTCATTTGATTCCTTGACTACTGCTTCCAGGGGCATTGTTTATTGACCTAAGAATGCGATCTTTGACTTCAGTTTAGGAAGAGTATAACAAACTCTGTTTGGTTCTGGCAGGGAAGACTTCACAGGGGAGTGACTGATTGCCAGGGGTCTGGAAAACTGCGCAGAACACATCAAGAGGAGAGAGGAGGGCATCCCATAGAGATCCCTGGAATGTGCAGCTATTATCAGGATGTAATGAGGGGCACAGCATGGTAACAATGAATGACAAGGCTAGCTTATATGTACACCTACTCCACACTTATCGGAGATCCTGTTATCTGACCTGTGGCATCTACAACAAGAATAAAATAATTACTATCTAACTAGCAAGGGAGTGAAGGTGACGTTTGGACAGAGCATATGTGGAATCCATGACAATATCTTAGGACTGCCTTTGACAGAACTCTTTGTTTCCCTTCCTGGAAGTTCCTGAGAACGCCATGCACGGGAACCCTTAAAACTCTGAGTGTGGAAACAGGTAGTAAGAAATACTGAGGCCGGCCATGCTGGCTGGTTAGGTTTCCTTCCTTTAAGGAGTTTCTAAATTAAAAACAAAACAAATCTCTTGTGATGCCCTATGTCTTCCAAAAGAAAATCCTTCTTTTGATAAGGTAAGAACTTAAAGTCCAGTATGTGTATTAATGATGTTTCTCTGGCAGTAATGAATGTCAAGGGGTGAGATGAGACTGATGCTGGCTGTAAGAGGTAAGGTTATGTGCCAACTTGGCTGGGCCATGAGTCTCCGTGGTTTGGTAGTCGTTTCATAATGTGAGTTGGCAGTTATGTGATGCTATAGTTATCCTTCTTATTGTGATCTGATGTGGTCATCCTCCAGTTTTGCATAAGGCTGATTTTCCCATAATGACTCGATCTTGGGACTTTAACGCTAATGTTGAAAATGAGGAGTACCACACTCCACAAATTTAGAACAAACGAACAATGCAACAGATGTTGGCAAGAGGCAGGTGCAGAAGCCCTGAGGGTTTTGCTTGAAGATAAACTTCCAGGCAATAGACAGCCACTGAGAAGAGTTTTAAGGTTTTAAACAGACTTATAGGATGAGATGTGAGTGATAATACAAATGCTCTGAACCAGGAGAATGAGTTGCTGTGGCTGAGGCAGAAGGGTGGGAGAAGAGACTTTGCAAAGGTCAGAGAAAGAGATGAGTAGGCTTGAAGGGAGGCCTGTAAGTAGAGGCAGGACAGGGGGTGAGGCCCTGCAGATGACAAGGAGGTAGTGTCCATGGGATTGGGTGACATCCTGGGTGCTGAGCTGTCTTGGTTGCTTGCTACTAGTGTAACACCACCACAAAAAAATATAATAGGTAGATGACTATAAAGAATAGGTATTTATTTCTCTCAATTCAGGGAGGCTAGAAATCCGAATTCAGGGCATTGATAAAAATGTCTTTCCTGATAGGTAGGCCCTAGAGTTTCTTGGCATTCTTTGGTGTTTCTTGGCATTGGTCTGCCCCTTGTATGTGTCTCTGCCGATTCTGCTCATTATATAACCCAGAAGTGATTTAGGATCTACTCTACTCAGGTGTGGCCCAATTAACATATTAGAGGCACTGTGTCCAAACATCCACAGGTATAGGCTTCAGAAATTCATAATATTTGGGGGGGGGGGACGTAGTTCATAACCCAGAGCAAGGCTGGAGAAGGGGTGGCAGGCAGAACCTGGGTTTCTGGGTGCTGAGTGTGGAGCTAGGAACCAGGGTGGGAAACCAAGAGAGGCCCCAACCTTCATCTGAAGAGCAAGCAGAGCTGGAGTCAAGGATGGGGAGCGGTCAATTTCAGGGACTCGTAATCACCGATGTGAATGATGAGGCCAGAGGGGGCTTTGTCTGCACATCCAGGCACTCGCTAATTTGTACAAAGGTTTGCTGGGCCTTGGCACCTGCTAGGACATCAGGGCCCAGCCTCCTTGCCTCTGCGACAGAGAACATCTCGGCCCCAGTGGAGATAATGCACTGTCCCATCAACTCTCCAGCTCCATGCCGGGCTGGTGAGAAGACACCTGGAATGTAAGGCATAGGCATGTGCTTTGCATGTCATACCACAGTTCTGAGAAAGGCAGGCAGTGCAGTGGGAGAGGTGCTGAGGAGGGTCCAGTCACGGCGTTACAGCAAATACAAGCCTGGATGTGCAGACAAAGCCCCCTC